CTGGCTAATCTCTGAAATGGCTGGACCAGATTTTGACGAGACTTTTAATGGCAGGTAGCTGATGTACTAAAGAGTAACATAGGATTTTGAAAATTAAATGAAACATAACAAAAAATTATATTCTACATGGACGAAGTCACAACAACAGCTAGTAAAGGAATAAAAACGTCAACCATTCAAACCAGAGTCAGCACAAAGTTTAATTCAATATCTATAAAACATGATTCGGTAACATTTCTTTTGAATTGCTGCACTTAATAAAGGGTAATGTCCCGTGACAGAGCAGTTACTGTTCTGCTTGTCTTACTTAATGAAATTAAGTGTCATAATTACATACATACGTGGGTCGGTAGTAAGTGTGACTGCCGGGCAAAAGGTCTCGGGTTCGATTCCCGGATCGGGCAAAGTACTACTAGGTCTTTTAAAAAATCTCATTAATAGCACGGAGTCTGGAATAGTCCGGTATACGGCAATAGGCTCACCCCTTATTACATAGGACTCATAACATAAATAGTGAAAAGTGAGTGTTACATTGTACAGTGGTATAATGTGTACCTCAGCCTACCGCTTCGGTGATAAAAGGTGAAATATTATATTATGTTACATACGTGAACACATGCTTTTGTCTCATGTAGATAAAAACTACAGAACTAATTACGAAAACGTCACCATAAGAGGATTTTCTCATGTGACCTGGTTGCATTTACAAATATTAAAATTCGCATACACATCACACTTAGACCTTTGTTTTTGACGGAGTAAATCATCCAATGGCTTCTCCCGCCTGGGTGAGGCGAGAGGGAGTGTCAGACTCTTACTGACGAAAACCACCCCGTTCCTACTCCTACCCTTCGAGCCGGAGCCGCGGCAACACGTTATGTCCTCTGCAGTTCCGTATCGAAATCAGCCCTATTGGACCCCATCTGTAGTGGTCTGATGGCTCTTTGAACTGATGGCTTTATCCACAGCTAGGATCATAATATTTAGACCTGGAATTGTGGGTCACACAACAAATTGTTCCGTGCAGGAATCAAAACAAAAAAGTCACATTAAAATTATCTAACCACAAACTTATTAATATTCTAACAACGCAACTTCCTTAAAACACAAATAGACAGTAAAATATCTCATACGCACGGATACCTACTTATATCTCGTTTCCCAAACATATTTTTATTTGCACACAAATCCAAATCTCTTAATTGAAAATCTCATTAATGCTTCGACAGATCTTGAAGAAAGTGGGAAGGAATTTCTCCCAAAACACAAGCAAAACCGCAGTATATAGCTAGGTAAGCACTCGATGTCAATAACCAGCCTACCGCAGAAACGCTCCTCTTACGAATAACAGTTAGCTACGGTTCTAAGATGGTCTAATGAAAACTGTTGGGTGTGGTCGCAGTGATAGCGGGATGGCGCGTTTAAATAATTTGTACCTACAAACGGATTTTTGTTGGTGGTCGTGTCACAGATCAGGCATAAATTACAAGTGTTCTTATGATTTTTTGTAATTAGATGCATTAACTACTGAAAATCAACTTATCCATAAGTTTGTTCGTCGGTTTTGAACGTCGCTATGATTACAGAAACGATACAGTATTACGAAATAAAAAAAAATATCATTACATTACATAATTTTACAAGAAAAAACTTTTTATTAACTAAGTTCTTATAAAAATGTCATAAACGTAACATCAAGAATAATATACGGCTTAGCACATTCCACACAGACAACCATTATAAGATCACGCGGCGGTAAAAGGGAAACTTTAAGTGTAAAAGAGGGGTAAAAACTCCTAAACAAGTACATAAACAGTTTACATCTTAATAATTTCTTATATAAATTACTGCTTAAGGAAATAATAAAAGTTAGTATAATATTACTTGCAGCCATTTTTCCTCGTATAAAGTTTACATTGTTATTTTCACGCCATTTTATTCTGCTGCGGCGGCCATTTTGAAATAGTTGTCAACACACGGTCGGAAAGTAGTTGCATAAGTAGTTACAGCTATTGTGGCACAATGTTAGTGGCAGTTTTTCTTTTTGAAGTGTAATGATGATAGTTTTAGCTTGTTTCTGCTGTAGTTGTGTGTAAAGTTAACGTCTTGTTTCTTATTGTCAGTAAAGCTATTTTTTAAGGTTAAGTAAATGTTTTACTGTTTTAAATACAATTTTTGCATGGAGTGCGCGCTAAAGAAGAGAGAGAGTGAGAAGAGAAGTTTAGCTAGCCAATATTTAAAAATTGATTTAATTGCAATGACTTAGCAGTTAGTCAAAACTAATCCTATGTCCATTCATTCTATTTTTTCGTATCATAAACAATACAAAAATCTATAATTAATAAAAACAATTCAAAACAACAATAACAATACAATTTCCCCGCTAACACAAACACCAAACCCCAAAAACTCTTACCAAAATGTAATCACAAAATCTTAGTTGGAAAAGAGACCGTTTTGTTAAAAGCATTGAGTTTATATTGCATTGCATAGACAGTTATCGTCTAACTACTTCTTCCTTTCACAAAATGATCTTTGTCTTTAGGTCGTATAATGAAATCATTATGGGCCTTGTAATATCCTATTTGGAAGGAAAAAAGCTTAAATAAACGTTGTACGGGACCACGGATGCGTGAAACGTCCTCCTATTGAAGAAAGAGGTTATAGAATTAAGTGATAATTAAAATGAAACAGATTTTTCGGGGGAAATTGAACAGATTTTTGTTATTAGTAAATTGGGTAAAAATGTTATTGGAACGGGATTATTTTTTGGATTTGTCGGATTTTATAAAGACCGGGAAGAGCCCCTCTGTGGTTCGAAGATAGTAGAGCTTTTCTCAATAATTATTTTCACGTGAGTAACCCGCGATTTTTAGTTAATTTAGTCTCACGATAGATATTATAAAAACATATGCATATTAATATGATGGAAGCTAAAGAACTTAGTTAAAATTGAAATAGAAGACTCTCTATGATCTATGGTACTTTTAAATTTATAGAAGCTGTGTCACTTTTGATGAATTGGAGTGGTTGGAAGTACAAAATGCAAATAATTGGGGATCGGTTATGCAAATTCTCTATAGATTGTCAATACGAAGGCCTGAAATAGGACCTGAAATATAGCAACAGGTTAAATTAAACTCATACCTCAGAAATATAGGTACCTATAATAGAATTAGGTAGACAAAAGGTGTTTTATTTTTATTTTAAGAGCTACCTGGCTACTACAATCACACAAATATTATAAATGTGATAGTTTCTTTGTTTGAATATTTGGATGTTTATCCGTCAATCACGCTGAAACTTTAACGGATTTTGATGAAATTTGGTATGCAGGCAGGATATGGGTTGGTGTAGGTGATAGGATATCCCGATTAAATGCTCCCATGAGATAAATCATATTCTACGCGGACGAAGTCATCATCATCATCATCAACAGCCTATAAATGCCCACTGCTGAACAAAGCCTCTTCTCGCACGGAGAACGCACGCTTGCTCAATGCGGGTTGGCGATTACAAACTTATAATAAGAAATTATAAGCCCAGGTTTCCTCGCGATGTTTTTCTTCACCGTTTGTCAGTGGTGTCTGAATGATCTTAGAAAGTACATATAACTCGGAAAAAGTCACATTGGTACTTGCCGTTGGTAGGTTTCGAACCCGCACCCTCATGCATGAGAAGCGGGCGTCTTAAACCTCTGGGCCACCACGATATTGTCGCGGACGAAGTCGCGTAGGTACAACAGCTAGTATTAAATAAGTAAAATACATTTTTCTAAACTCTCTTAAACCTAAAAAACATAAAACCTTCTTTCTTTATTAGCTACGGCAGTATCCAATCAGACAGGCGTCTGTGGTTCATACAAAATATATTTCGACCAATATCTCTGATGGCCATTGTAAAGTATACAATGGTTGAGATTAAATTTCTCTGAATAGAATGTTTCAACGGACCAATGTAACGGTGCAAGTTATAAGCGAGCTTATTGGATTAGGAAAAAGGTTTGTTTTTTAATGACGGTTCTGAACTAATGTTATTTTGCCTAACTCGTAGATACACTTAAGTATGTAATGAAGTTTGGTTTGACGTTCTAAATTATCTTTCTGGTCTAACTGACATAAATGATTTTGACTTTGACTAAAAAAAGAGTATACTTAGGCCGTGATTAATGTGTAATATGTTTAAACAAAGCAAAGATGGTTTTGACCCGGCAACAGTAGCCTTTTCCTGCACTTCTAATGTTTTACTATCACTCGGAACTGTCATTAAATAAGCGGAACTGTGACCACACGCAAAGGAAATGAGGAGACGTAAAAACTCTTATGTTTTGTTTACAAGCATTTTGCATCAATCTTGGCCAAAGTATAAATAGTTTCGTCTGCTCAATAACATTCTCAACTCCATCTAGTTAAAATAGTTAAAATTTTAAACGCTTCATATATTAAAAATCCACTAAAATCGAACAGGAATTACATATATCTGGCTTTTGCATAATATGTAAAATGTTTGTATTATTGCCACTGCCATAACGGAAATTATAATAATACTTATTAATAATTTTTACTCTACACATATTAACAATAGCTTTGTTTAATAACATAAATTAGGTAATGTATGAGGGCCGATTTTTCAATCATCAGTTAATTCTTAACTGTAGAATAAAATTGACATTTGACAGTTTTTTAGTATGGAAGAATTGTTAATCAAAGTTATTTCTCAGTTAAAATGTATCTGTTGATGGAAAAATCGACCATAATTGTGCATACATTTTTATTAAAAATAAACCTATAAGATAAAGCAATTTAGCTAGTTGCAAGCCACGATGGGAACTCATAACTATGAGTAATATTGAACGACGAATGACAACGAGAGCGTCGCGCGACAGTTAAAATACAAAAAAAAACTTAAAATGAAATCGATTTACTTTCATATTGAAATATAATAATAATATTAAAGTCACCTAAAACTGAGAGAAGGTAATCATTTATGCCTTTCCTTAGCTCCTTCCCTAAAGACTTCCAAAGTTATCGGTTCCGGATCACTTGCATTCAACGATTCAGAGCGACCTTCACAAACTTATCATTCCAATAATGAGGTAATTCTTATCTTTCGAGGTTATCTTTCAAATTTCCTTTTTGTTTTAAAAGATAAGTGGTGCTTCTTGATGATTTTTCTTGTAGTAGATGGTGTTATAGGAGTTTAGATAGCCATTTCTTAAGAAAGAATTCAAAATTGAAAATGTACATCTCACGTGATCGACTGTTTAAAAATCAGTCTAAATCACACTCATGACCTCCTTTAACAGTCGTTTTCTTCCTCCCCAGGTGTCAGATGACATTGGTTACGTGGTCTACTCGGCGCTGGGCAGTTTCTACATACCGTCCTGCATCATGGTCTTCGTGTACATCCGAATATACTTCGCAGCGAAGGCGCGTGCGAGGAGAGGGATCAGGAAGAACCCGAGACCACGACCTGTGAGTAGACCAGTAGAATAAGAATATTTGTACTAACAAAGGGGTTAAAAACACTTTTATTCAGAAAAATATGTATAACGAAAAAGTTATACATATTTTTCTGAATAAAAATCGTGCGCGGTTTTTTGTTATTTACAAACTAATCAATTACGATTTGGAATATAGTTAAAATAGTCGCATATTTGTATCTAAATACCACGCAATGCATATACTTTTATTACGAACTATTGACGACGAAGTTGGATATTTTCGTGTTTTTAAGAAAGTGTAGATATGGAAACTTAAGTCATAGTAATAGTGTGTGAATTAATATCGAGATTATTGTCTTCGCTTCTGAAATGAAAATCGAAGAAAAACTAAAAAATTATAATAATCACCGCATAACATAGTTTTCTTTTTAATTCTGTTTTTTTTTATGGGATAAGCCGGTAAACGAGCAGACGGATTACCTGATGGTAAGCAATCAGCGTTGCCCATGTACATCTGGAACACAAAATTCAAAACTATGGAATTAAAACTATAATAAGGTAACTAAAAATCGCGGGGTCCTCACGTGAATATACTGAGAAAAGCTCTACTAGTTTCGAGCCACAGAGGGGCTTAAGCAGCGTGCCCGACATCGCCGCGACTGCGCAATCTTCTCAATATAATCATGCGAGTAACCCGCGATTTTCAGTTAATTTAGTAAATCTCACGATAATTATTATAACAACATAAATAGTAAGTTAAAAAAACGTCTATGTATAATTGTATATGTATGTAGGTATCTCAAGAAAATTATTGCGAATATAAATTGCTAAATAATGTTATATATAGAACAAATATTTTAATAATAATACTGTTTCTTTTTATAGAACGAGCAGCAGACGAGTTTCAGTAATCCCCCCAAGGGCACGCGACCCATGCCCTCCACACATCCCATGCCCCCGGGCCATCTTAGCAATAATAACGGGTAAATATAAAGGCACGAATATACTACCGTGACGTGGCGTATCAGCTGCAAGCATTTGGTGACACACGCGATACGAGACGACACGCAAGTCGAGCCTGACTGCATGATTGGTGCTGTGACTGTCGTGCTACCCGCTACAGGGTTCGATTCCCGCACGAAGCAACTCTGTGTGATCCACAGATTTTTTGTTTCGAATCTGAGTTTCGATGTGAAATTGTTTGTTTGTAAACGCACCCATGATACATGAGAAAAGCCATAGTGTGGGGTAATGTGTTTTTATGTGTCACTGACCATAGTAAATGTATGCTTCTGTCACGTCTTGACACGTCATGCCACGGTAATGTGTTTCTGCCCTTACTCTCATCTATAATAATAAAAATAATTGTGTTTTTGTCTTTGTGATTTTTGTCGTAAGTGTTATTATTTTTGTGTCTTCCGGATTATCGTGAATAGGATGTATTTTATTGACGTTTTCTTCTCAATAACTACTGATAACGCTGGTATGCCTATTTCTGAATTTAATAGATGGCAAAGTGAAATTCACGTGAATGTTTCACGTGATTACGAAATATTATCGATTTACTATGCCATCTGTGGCGTCGATCGACGTGTTTTTTTATTTGTTTTATGTCTTCAGACGGAGAAACCTAACAAATATCACTTCACCCAAAATAAGGACCTCTATATTACGATCCTGACAATTAGGACTATGTAGCAATCAAAATACATTTATTCACATTTTATTTACTGCCTCGTTGGCCGAGTGATCGCAAGTGCGACTGCCGGGCAAGGGGTCTCGGGTTCGATTCCCGGGTCAGGCAAAGTATTACTGGGTTTTAAAAATTCTTAGTAGTACCACGGAGTCTGGAATTGTGCCCGGTATATGGCAATAGGCTCACCCCCTATTACATGGGACTCATAAGTCATAACATAAATAGTGAAAAGTGGGTGTTACATTGTACAGTGGCATAATGTGCACCTCTGCCTACCCGTTCGGGGATAAAAGGCGTGATGTTATGTTATGTTATGTGTTACATTTTATTTATTTGTCGAACTTAATTATCTTATCAAAAATGTTCTTAATAATTTCGTTCTAATAGATAAGGAATGCAGGGACGAAATACAACATTCAAGTTGCTCAGATTATCTGAATTCCAGCTTAAAAAGGAACGTCTTGTCAATTTCGTCTCTTTTACAAACATTATTTGAGATTCTTCATCGAATGCCTATGCTGTTTTTATGTATTAATAAAATAAATATCAGCTTATTTAGGTAGCTACATGTTCAAGACTAAAAAAAATAACATAACATAACATAATTTCACTTTTAACCCCGAAGGCGTAGGCAGAGGTGCACATTACAGCACTTAATGCCACTGTACAATGTAACATCCACTTTTCACTATTTATGTTGTAAGTTCCATAGGGGATGAGCCTATTGCCATATACCGAGCACGATTCCAGATTACTGGGATATTTTTCAAAAAACCAGTAATACTTTGCCCGACCCGGGAATCGAACCCGAGACCCCTTTCCACTCGCACTTGCGATTATTCAGTCAACAAGGCTGTAATAGATAAAATTAATCAAATCAAAAAATAAACTAGTATGAAACTTCTATACCCTGTTACTATCCCATGGATGGACTGGAGGTGGACAGTCATATTTTCTTAACCTAATCAAAATGACTTATGTCGTGAACACGACTTGTCCACAACTCACAAACTCACGACTGAGAAGTAAAATGAAATGAAATAAGTTTATTCGGCATAAGACATGCACGCCAAAAAAGACATATAAACAGAAAAATTAAAAGATAAAAGTTAAATTATAAAACTAAAACTAGAACTAAAACAAGCCACAAGCCCTTTAAGTGCGCGGTGTTGGCGGACATGTCCAATCCGAACGGGTCACCAACTCAGCATAAAGCTGGGCACAAGTAGACGCTTTAACATGTTTATCATTCGTCATTAGGATCCCTAATCTAATGGAACAGAAAGGCTCATATGCGTTATACTTTAAAGATCATCGCACCCCTAATAAGCACGGCTCTGGCACGGCCGTTTTTGCTTTGCAAACGATAAAAAGAGGTTATAAATGTACTGTCGGCGCGCAAGCGCGTGCTTTTTATATTGACGTTATGAAATATGTCATACGACATAAGATTTCAAGTTCATATTTAAATAACAACGACCTTATTATACTCCTTGGTTGAAGCCGTGCTGGACCCGTACTTTTTAGGTGTACAATGACTTTACAGCGTCCTTTGCTTACCTTGTCCAAAACAATAGTGGCATAAATCATAAAGTATTTTAATTTTTTCCAGCGAAAGCCAAATATCAACAATAGAAACACCACAAGTACAGATACCAACAGTAACGTGCGAACTTGCGTCAGACATATCCACGAGCGAGGCTGGGGACACTATACCTCCACCACCCGACGAACGGAAAGATACGCTCAAGGTAAAATTATTTATTTATTTATTTATCGTGATTTAGATAACCAAGAGTTTGTTTTTTTGTTTGTTTGTTTGAACGCGTTAATATCCGAAACTACTGGTCCGATTTGAAAAATTCTTTCTGTGTTGGATAGCCTATTTATCGAGGAAGGCTATAGGCTATAAAATATTACGCTACGATTAATAGGCGCCGAACAGAGCGAGTGAAACCGCGCGGAAGTAGCTAGTTACAAATAATAAAAATTAAGGAAGGAATAGGAATAGGAATTGGATATGCTAATACAAAGCCAATATGTTTCCACGGCTAGCTACAGTATATCTTTACAGAGGTTTTGCGAATGCAATGCTCATAAAAGTATATAGAAAGCAAGGATATTCATTCAGTAAAAAGGTTTAGTCTCTTACGCACCCTGGTACACACGGCTACACATCGAGCTTTACATAACCAGTATAAACTGAACGTTAAATGTGCGGAAAGATGATGCGACGCGACACCAGGATAAACTGGTTTTGTATAGATTGATGTGTGGTCGTGTGTACTTGTGGTAAATTATACTAGGTACGGAACTTTCACCAAGTATCAGAATACTAGCTTCTGCCCGCGACTTCGTACGCGCAATCCCATTTTCCCCCGTTCCCGTTCGTGATTTTTGGTAAAAGTAAAAAAAATATTAGATAAAAAGTATCCTATGTCCGTCTCCTGGTTCTAAGCTACCTCCCCGTCAATTTTCATCCAAATCGATTTAGTCGTTCTAAATAGTGTAACTAACACGACTTTCTTTTATATATATAGATATACATGTATACCATGAAATCTATTTCGTTTTAAAACTCAAATTAACAGAATGTGGTCCCTATCAAATGGCCAGAATAATAAAAAAAAACAGATTTGAATTTTTGTTATTATTTTTCACTCTCACTGTCATACAAACATAAAACTAGTCTTCAAACTTAATAGACTGGATCAACAAAACTTCATCAATACCTAACAAGTCGAACCAAGGAGGTCAAGTAAATTCTAGTTCATCACTTAGAACCTAACTGTGATCTGTGGCTTTAACTTAGCCAAGTTTAAGTTAACTACAAGTCTTCGAACTAAGATCAATCCTAACTTAGGTTGACTTTCAGTCAATTCTGCAGTTAATTGTTTGTGGACATGGCAATGATTGGATAAATAGATGGAGTCTCTATTTATAATTTAAGTAAAACGAATGAATCAGCTTTTTGTATATTTACATTATACATATCGTCACGCTTGTTTAGCATTAGGGTAGGCAAAGACAATTAAACGCCAAATGACACAATTCAAGCATACCTCTTTCGCTTCATTTACATTAATCAATATCTTCATGCAAGCTCTTTCATCAACTAAACTTTGTCGTGGTCCATTCAATGCACCATGCCTAGGAAAATGCGTTAAGTCTATCATACTAATAAAATAAATAACTGTAAATACGAAAATGCATTATACATAATACCTCATCAACTACATCGTATCATACTTTTAATTTATTTTTGGCTGATGCCATGCCATGCCTCTATCTTCGGAGATATTAATTCTATGGTTTACATTACTAACCAACCCTTCCTTCTCCAGGTTGTCACATCAGCACAAGTACAAAAAAATCCACTGGCCTCCTGTCCACTGAGGAGTTCGACACTCTCAGTGAACGGCGAGCTTCAGCTGCAGCAGACAAGGGGCAGAGCACCCAGCGTCGCGATAGATGCTGACATGGTCTCCGAGATGGAACCGTCATCATCAGACTCAGGAGTAGTCAGCCGTTGTGGTGGTGTCAAACCTCTAAAGTTACGAATCTTCAAAAAAACAGACAGGAGACAAGAGAAATCTCAACCAAGTAAATCAGAATTAGAACCAGCATTACCAAAGCCACACAAACCTAGAGATCCAGAGAGAGAAAAGAAGAGATTAGCGAGAAAAAAAGAGAAGAGAGCTACTTTAATTTTAGGTTTAATAATGGGCAGCTTCATAGCTTGCTGGCTGCCTTTCTTCTTCTTGTATATACTTAAAGCAGCTTGCAGAAACTGTGTGATACCTTCGAGCGCGTTCGCGATAGCCTTCTGGCTGGGGTATATGAACTCTGTGCTAAATCCTGTGATCTACACCATCTTCAACAAGGATTTTAGAAGAGCGTTTAGAAGAATACTGTTTAAGTGATGTTTAGCCTACGTGTGCTGTTACCGCTGCGTAGCCAACAGGATCATGATGGCTCAGCAGAGGGCAGCACCGAATCTTTACAATGTACGTTGAAATGAACTCTCAATAGTTATAATGGTGGAAGCGGTTCAGTGATACAAGGCGAATATAATTATACACTCTGACTGATATTATTTCAATCACAATCTTTAATTAGACATATAATTTTACGAAGCAATTATTTAACCAACTAATTATAAATAATTTCGAGATAAACATTTTATGTAATTGATTGGAATATATTCATAACATATTATGTTGGATTAATAATAGATGTTATGTATTACCTCCTTTGTATAATATCGGTCAAGCGGATAATTGGAATAACAGTCAATAGAACCGAAGTGACATAAAATTACGCTTACATATAAATATAAATAGATCATATTTATCGTATCATAAAGTCTAGATCAGCTTGTCAGATTTTTAAGCTATTTATAGAAATCCTATTGTCATTTCATACACAACTATAGCTATTTAATAAGTGACCATATTCTTATCTATTTTAATTATATCAGATACGGCTAGAAACAGTTAAACAATAATTATTTTAATGGAATAATTATTTTTAAAAAGAAAACTAATAGTGCCAATCCTAAAACTGTTTACAAATAGAATAAGTAATATTAATTATAATAGAAAATATCAGGATACTAATGTACATTTTATTTTAAAGTAAAAAATGGAATTGTAAATTATAAAAATACATAACTACTGTAAAGTAATTCATTTCGTAGATTTTTTTAATATTCGTAGCTGAATTATAGAATTAATATATAAAATACGGAGAAACTGCAAAAACACTAATGGATTTGAAAAATTATACATACTAATTATATAATTATTCCTTTAAAAGTACAATAAAGGAATTACATAGCTTTAATGTCATCAGATTTCGTAAAACATTAGCTTTAGCTGTGTTAGTATCCAACTTCAATGCGGCGTACGTACCTCAACTAAATACAATATGAAAGAAGAAATAAAATATTTAATACATTTTGCAAATTAATTATAAATAATTATTACTTTAAAAACTCAACAAATGAACAATAGCTTAGAACCCGTTTCACAAGTTAATATCCAATTAAAGGAAAATCTACATATGTGTCTCACGTGTAAATATAATCAGACATAATGACATAGTAACTTAACATATATATAACATATATATACTTTTTTTTTTTTTTTTTTTTTAAGGGGGAAAATCATCGAATGACTGCTCCCGCCTGGGTGAGGCGGAAGGGAGTGTCAGACTCTTACTGACTAAAAACCACCCCGTTCCTTCTCCTGCACGTCGAGCCGGAGCCCCGGTTACCCGTTAGGTTCTCCGCGACTCCGAATCGGCATCGGCCCTATTGGGCCCCATCTGTGGTGGTCTGATGGCTCTTTGAGGCGCGCGCGGAACGCGACGCGCCGTACGCTCGGGTCTGTTTCTGGTCGGACGGGAGCCACCCATGCTCGCCGTCCGCAGGCCCGCGCTTACGGTGGCCGGAGATCGTCCCGCGATCCCCGACGCCCGTGTGTCCTTCGCGATGGCTGGGTCGCGAGGAGCAGCGCTTCGCTGCCTCACGCGTCCCGCCTCCTCCTTAGCTAGCATGACTGCTTCGCAAAAGGAGGAGACGGCATCCCAGTCCCCCTCGCTCCGCATCATGGCCTGCACTAGGCCCGGACGCGAGAGGTCGCCATCGCCGATCACTTCCCTGAGGGCACGGCGGTGCTCAGCCCACGCAGGGCATTCCGCTACGGTGTGTTCCACCGTGTCCTCAGGGCGGTCCTCGCAGTGATGACACCCGGGCGTTTCCTCCCGCCCCATCAGACACAGGTACCTCCCGAAACTTCCATGTCCGGTGAGGACCTGCGTCAGGCGGTAGGTGAGGACGCCGTAGCGTCTCTCAAGCCACTCCTCAAAGAGGGGACTTACCGCTGCAATGGCAGCGAGCCCAAACATATATATACTGCAACTTAAACACGTCTGTAAAAATACTATTCGATTTTAGAATACATTTCAAACTTAATTGGCATAAAACATTGCTTAAATAACGAAAAACAAACTGCTTAATATAAAAAAGAATACAACTACAGTACGCCACATTGGATTTGGGTCTTAGGTACTGTAAACTTGCTAGAAAAATCATTATAATAGAATCTAATTAACATTTTCTTACATATTTCTATATTTATTTAACAATCCCTTAAAGACTTACCTACACGCTTATATACGTACAAAATAGTGAATTATCTATGTATAGTTTTCATATAATTGTTTGCTATAAATTCTAAATTCCACCATATAAAATACAATATAAAATCGTTTATTTACATTGTTATAATCTTTTATGAAGAATGTTCCATAAAAATGTTGTTGAATTTTGTTAAAATATTTTATAAAAATTATATGAAATATAAATAATTTACTGTTATTGTTTACAAAATCTGTTTATCAATATCTCGAATTATGTTCGAATAAAAAATGTTCAAAGTTCAATTTCTTCATTGAAATGTAGAAATTTTTGTGAATAATTTCTCATAAAAAATACAAACACATTAATTCAAATACTTATTAAAAACTATTTCAATCACAACTACTAATTACTAAAACAATAAAATAAAGCAATCATTGTAAAGATGCGGTGTATAAATATTACTGATTATTTTGTGAAAGTAATTTAAATTAGTTTTACGTTTAAAATATAATTACAATATAGAATTTTAAAAGACAATTATAAAATAATTTATTAAAAATTGTGAGAATGTAAACCAAAACTTAATAATTTATTTAATGTATAAATTATTTTGCAGATTGTATAAATTCTTTCACAATATAAACAGTATTTTGTAGGTTAAATATATTTTTAAAAATAAAATAAAAAATGACTGTGCCTCTGTGCCTATCGACAAGCACTACACAACAATAAAATGCACTTATTTGAAAAATTAATGTAAATAATACACTAAGTTTAATTTCCCTTGCGTCAAAGGATTTTTATTCAACCAAAAATTTGGTGGATATTGTAAATCATAATTTTAAATGTTTTTTAAACAGCGCTGGTCGCTTTAATATAGTTTTTCGTTTTTAAGTTTTTCATGTAAATATGTACTTATATATAGATATGTACTGATATCTAGTTATATATTAGGTTATATTAATTATAATATACCAAAAAGAACACCAAATACTTCCTGTAAATTTTTCTAATCTTATGAATAGTAAAAGTTTTATCCAGTAAATTTTAACCTTGTAATAAATTGTTTCCATGTAGTATGTAAGGGTTATATAAATTAGTGAAGTTTAGAATTTTTCTATACTCAGATCAAGTTTTTAAAATTAAATTTTGGACCCTTAAGTTATAATTTTGAAAATGAAATTGTGCTTTGTTTTGTCATATCTCCGTTGTTTTGTTAATCATTTTACCTATCAACTATATATACCTACCTACGACTGATGATAGTTTTTAATAAAATAAATCTTTTTCAAAACCTAAATACAAATTGTAAATAAAAATTTCCTCAATAATTATTTCGAAAATATCTTGTAAAATAAGTATTAATGAACAACAACGACAACTTAATTCTAAATCGGTGTAAACTAGATTCTTGGATCTTAGGACTTAATACTTAAATTATAAGTATTATAATTTTAAGTAAAAATAATAAACATTACAACACCATTGCCGAAATAGTGAATAATTAGATTTTTAGTATAAATTAAATTAAATAATTATTAGATATTAATTACGTACTGAATTCAAAAGCAATAGAGGACGTAGTTTTCTTTTCTTGTTATAATTTTTCACTATTTTAAAAATTTCATATAGTCTTCCAAAGTGTGTGTGATTATCAGATAATAGTAGATATTGCCTTTCCTTACTTTGTGTAAAAAGTACTTTATTTTTATTTTACTGAGTAAAAAATTTAAAATTATGTGAGAGAGTAAAATTACGGAGTAACATTTTTTCAAATTAATCTAGAACCCCACAATCTAGCACCGAGCCCTTGCTGTTTGTGTAGGTTCTATTTTTAAAGTCGTGATTTACGATTTTAGACCTTAAAACATTCTTCATACAACACTTCCTCGGAAATGTTGTGTGAATAATAAATAATGATATTATTAATGCAATAATTTAGTGATTTAGTTTTAATGAGTGAATTATTGTGAGAAATTATTATTTAAGTGAGTAAAGTTTTTCAAACTACATACAGGTTTTTTGTACAGTCTTAAATCTTGTAAAAAATAAAAATTACGCCATTATTACTTATTTAGTAAAATATATTTAGAATGTTTTTAAAAATTAAATAACTTATAGGTGGCTATCCTGTGTATTTAGTAACTTGTTCAATAAAAAATGTTCTAAATTAATAAAAAACTATTTATACTTGTAGCATAATAATCTATATAGTATTTGTTAAATATTTTAATTTTTAATATATAAAATATAAAAAATTCGGAATGCGTTACGTTTATATAGTTCTTTATATAAAAAATATAATTATAATTACTAAAATCGTCTAAGACTATACGATTAACTATTAATTCTTATCGACTCAAAATGTAAATGAAAAAATATACGAAGTACCAATATACAAATTTTAATCTTTACTCATTTGTTTTATTCCTAATAAACCATCCAGAATTATAATCATATACCTATACAACTTTCCTGAAGGGTATAACCTGGGTGTCTTCAATGGCCGAGTGAATAGGTTGCTTATGGGACGACGTGCTCCATCGTGGGCCGCATCATCGGTTACTACCAGGCGAGATAGTGGTCAATCGTCAGCCCATCAAATATAAAAAAAATATTAAAAGCACATTTCATTTACTGAACTTTCTGAATATCGCGGGTTCGATTCCTGTAGAGAGAGTTCTATGATAATAATTTTATAATCTGGTAGGTTTGGCCGAATTATATTACCTCTATATTAATTTATCATCAACAGCCTATAAGTGGCCACTGCTGACC